GGCTCAAATTTTTTAAAACATTGCCTAGAGAGATCTAAAAAGTAGATGTGACATTTTTGGATTTATAGGATTGAGCTAAGTAGAAAAGTGAGGCAGTGTATTCTAGAGAGGAGAAAGTGCATAAACAAAACCATGGAGGTAGGCAAGTCAAGGGAACATCGGAAAGTAGCAGGCAAGGCAAGCTAGTCGCTTCGCCCTGAGCACAGAAGGGGTGTAGAAGATGAGATTGGAAAGGTAAGCTGGGACCATGTTATAACAGGATGACATACTGAATTTTATTTAATTCAAAAGGTGATGAGGAACTATTAGAGGGATTGAACCGGGAAATTAGAGAATAGGAGGTTCAGACTCAGAGCATCATTAGAATAGCCTTTCTGTTCAGAATTTTTTACTTATTTTCCAGAATGAGATTTGCTTATGTGATGGAGTACAATCTTGACAGTGATAGAACCCATATATTTTTCACAATGATAAAAATAAAACTTTGAGTTTGATCATTGCCCCATAAAAGCAAACTGGTTTTCTTATTTTTCCTCTAAAGAGTATTTCTAGTCTGGGGATCTAAGTCAACCAGCGGAAGGAAGTAAATTACAATGTACTTGTCCTCTGCCACACGTTTAAAACATTGTGAAATAAAGTAAAAATGAACATGAAAGGCAGCCTTTTAAATAGAGAAGTTATAAGGTAATATGCATCTGAGAGGTACATGTGGAAATGGAGAAGAATTTTCCTTTGGTAAAGAACAGGATTGGAGGGGAGCCAATTGTACATGTCTATATGAACCAGTTTTGTTTTTAGCAATCTTCTGTGAATCTCCACACATCTGTCAGCACTACAGAAGCCCTCAAAAGGTATGGTCAAGGGCACTTACCAAGTTTTTCTCTGTGCTACAATAGCTCTTAGTCTAGAACATCAAAATATATTTGTGAACTTAACAAGACATGTTTGTTTTTAAAATGCATTCAAAAAGACCACTGCAGAGCAACTAATGGCTTTGGTGACCTGAATCTTTTCTGTGGGAACAAACCGATACATTTCCATAGGAAGTAAGTATTTCTATGGGAAAACTGGGTATAGTCAGTTTTCCTCAAATTGTGTATGGCACCTGCATCAAGACCTCTAGGGATGATTTTCTAAAATGCAGGTACAAGGGCCCCCTCCAAACCTAGAAAATCCGAATTTCTGAGTATAAGGCCTGGTGATCAGAACTTTTACAAACTTCCTAGGTGATCTGTATACATGTTAAAGCTTTTGGGTCTTTGTCACCCATAATCCCTAAACAAAACAAAACTGGTTGGCTGATAGACAGAAGTGGAAGGGAGACTCTTGTCTCTGAAAACTCTTCTACCTTTTGAATTTTGAATTTTTTCATGAACAAAACTTAAAAGAATGAGCACCATATTTATATCTGCACCCGTAGAACCAGGCAGAGCATCTGGCAAATAACAGTTGTAGATTTGAACTGAGCAGCATGGTCATAAGAGGCATAGTTTATAATAAATAACATACATTTTTTTACATCCCTATTTCCTCTCCCCTTTCCCTGACCTTCTCAAAAGAAAAAGAATAATTACTGAATTGTCAACAGCTTTTGCAAGACCCAGTTTGCTACTTATTCTTCTTGGTAGTGTTTTGTGCAGCCCCAATACCTGGACCTAACAGATTCACAGGTTGATGCTGGAAAGTATAGATAAAACTTCTCCTATCTTTCTCTTAGCTACATTTTTACAAATGGTATCTGCTTCCTTTCTCATAAATACTAGTGTATGTGGTATTTGGTATTTACCTTTTACCTTTTACAGAAAAAAGAATTCACAGATAAGTACCATGTTATACATATCTATATTTATTAGGCTAGAAAGAATTTTTTTCCAACTGTTAATCAAATGAACTTTATGCCTTTAGCACAGTTTCCAGTGATTTGAGTTTTAAAGAGCTAATTAGTCTTTTTGGTAACAACTAATTATACTTATAGGGTGCTTATAGCAAAATTGTTTTAGAAATGCAATTGTAACTTCTTTTGACATTTTCCTTCTCACTGAAATCTCCAAGTAAAATAAAAATAGTTTATTTTGACCCATTCATCTTTTTAAAAAAACAAACCAAAAATAAAACCTCATTCTGAAGCACTCTGAAAATTATAAATGTATCCTCTTTAGGAAAAGACTAATATCTATTTTCCCTAGATTGATAACCTTTTCAAGATTTTTCTTTGTTTCTTTCTATGCCATGCAGAAATTATTGTCAGGTGAGGAATGCCAAGGAGTGACATTATAAATGTCATAGGTCAGAACACGGGTAAGGAAGAAATGCTGTCTGGAAAGCAAATCTAAGTTTTTGACCAAAACATTCTCATTATATATCTGTTCTCACCAATCCTGTTACTTGTTTTGCATACCTTCCTAACTAAAAAATAATGAAGAAAATGTGGAGAGGCTATATGTTCAGCAAAAAATATGCAGTGTTTCACGTCTAGAGAGAATATTGTAGCTCATGAAAAAAACAGCATAAAAAGAAACTGAAGTGTTTTATGTCCCAATGAATTATACTCCCTCTATGGCCTTGTATTTCTTTAGGAGCACAAAACAATGAGACCAAAGTTTAAAAGGGTCATGAAGTGACATGCATTACAAAAACATCACTTTAAAACAGTCCTTTTGTTTATTGTGCCCTTTGCATTATGTTAAAGTGGGTATACGAAATAGAATTGAAAACCTGGGAAAGGTTCCATGCTTAGAGGCTAAGTAGCATTTCTTTTACAGGACTAAGTTCAACACCTTACAAGTATCACCTTAATTCTTACAAGTCAGGTTCAGTTTCAGCAAAAGCAACATCATTAAATAGCTCATCTAATTCATTTTGGGTCACCTCTGTCTTTATCAGAGTAGCATTTTTTACTTTCTATAATCATGCAGGTAGAAAAATGCACTCTGCTTTGTCACAGCATAAAATGCTTTCTGAGGTTGAAAAGTGAATTCAAAGGGAGTTTAAATGTATTGGTATCATAGTTATTCAGTATCTCTGAGTTTCCCATTTCTGTCCAATGCAGATATTATTCAAGTGAAATCTGACACATATATATTTATTGATAAGTCTTTTATAAAAATAAAGAAAGAAATTTGAAATAGTGGCTAACCAGGTTAAAAAAGGTATTTTTTAATTGTATCATTTTTTTTATTTTAAGAGAAAGGCAACTTGAAGTATCATTTTGCTATTTGTTATTAAGCTACAGTGAAAAATGTGGCATATAAAACAAATGAGTAAAGATTGCCTCTAACAGAAATTAGAAAAGAACTTCCTCCAAATTTAAGAATGATTTTCATAATTTTCTCAATCGCCTACTGTTTCATAAATTTTAGGGGAGAAAAGGAGGGGATAAAAAAAAGTCACAATTGAAACTACTATAAAAAATAACCAGAAAGTTAAACTTTAAAAGCCTAATTTTTCAGAAAGACCCAAAATGGTAAAAGTCTTATTTATCAATTCCATGACTGCATCAGTCTGTTGATAGTTATTTAAAATCACCTTCAAAGTATTTTGTTTGCAAAACTTCTAAGATTTAATGTATGATCAGGCAAAGTGAATAGGAACACAATTAAATATTCTCAATCATAGTTGAAGCTCTTCATGTGAAAGCCACTGAGTATAAGACATTACTATTTCCTCTTATTCTCATTGTAATTACATTTTTTTCTAATTCATCATATGAAATCTTAATATAACTTTTTCTCTCATCTCTACCACTTTACCTCAATGAATTTTTTGAGTATTTCTTTCAGCTTCTAAATGAATGAACTATTATATTCATTATTATGATTATAATAACCATTATTACAATTCATTCACATCACATTATATATTTTGTACTATTATCACATGAATTATTTTTATGATCTTTTTTATAGCACCATAAATGTCACAGTGGTTTTCTTTGCCATTGAAAATCTCATGCAGAAGAATTCTTTTGATTTGTCAACTAACCAACAAAAATTATTTGCATCCACTTGAAGCAGCAGCTTTAAAAATGCTCATTCTGGGCCGAATCCATGGCGCACTCCGGAGAGTGCGGCACTGGGAGCGCCGAGGCCGCGGGTTCGGATCCTATATAGGGATGGCCGGTGCGCTCACTCGCTGAGTGCAGTGCTGATGACACCAAGCCAAGGGTTAGGATCTCCTTACCCGTCATAAAAAAAAAAAAAAAAAAAAAAAATACTCATTCTACATCTCACAACAATTTAGTCAAACCTACAGAATTCAAATTTATTTTATTATGAAAAGTTTCCCACATTTGATGTGATTTTTTTCAGGGCATGGATTCAATCTAGGTCAGCTGCTTCCACAAGAAGAGTTAATTTTATCTAGTCAAGCACTGAAGTCTTAAAGCAAGTATTTATATTGGGAATAATAGACCCAATGAATATGGAAAAGGGTTTGAGAATGTTATTGATGGAAAATAGTTAATAGTAAAAGCTCAGGCACCAGCCTGTTGTCATTATAGCCTCTAAGAAATGCAAATCATAGGACATTCAGTTATAATGGTAATATTAACAATGAATTGATTACTTATACCCCTTAACTTAAAGTACTACAGTATAAACCAAATTAAATAGATTGAAATTACAAAATCCCAACCTCCTGGAATCCTGCTGCTTCAAATGATTAACAGTCTACATACATATCATGAGTCCATTATGTGCTGACATCTAGAATACGTTATTGGACTAACATGGGTATGTCGCAGCTATTAGATGTTGAACTCATTTTTCGTTATGAAATATATTAAAATTTCAGAAAAAATGCTCAAGTCTTGCAAATAACATATCTTCTAGTATGCATTAATATGATAAGAATTTTGGGGATATGTCCAGAGTCCAAAAACACATCATAAATTGAAACCTTTGCAAAGACTAAAGTAAAAAACGTCAGTATTGCTATGATTACACTGCCCTCTAGTGGTAAAATAACTGATATTTACACTCAGGTTTATTTGCCTTTTTCAGATCAGCATTTTCATGACCCATTTGTCCAACTATGGGAACGACCGACTGGGATTATATACATTTGTTAATCTTGCCAATTTCGTGCAGAGCTGGACCAACCTGCGACTTCAGACTTTGCCTCCAGTGCAACTGGCTCACAAGTATTTTGAGCTCTTTCCTGATCAAAAAGACCCTCTCTGGCAGGTAAAAATGGTTCAATTATTGGTATAACTAATAAATCCCACAAACATATCTTGTAGTCCTATGAGATAATCCAAACTGAAAAGTAAAAGCATCTGAAAAAAAAACTGTACATTTTGGAAATGTTAGTAGATTTGAGGAACTACTTCTCCCTTAATTGTAGTCTAAAATTATTACTACATATTGAGTCAAATTCTCTGTTCCCTTGCCCATTAGAAATTGTAGAATTCTAAAAGTTCAGTGAAGGATTCAGTGGATGTGATGTCTTCAATCAGGAGTGAGAGATCAATTTGCAGATAGGCTGAAAACAGGTTGTATGTAGGGCAAGCAGCCAGCTGGTCAGCCTTAAACACCACTCCATGTCTCTAATGACTAAATCACATTAAAAGGTCTCTGAGAAGAATTCAGAACTGACATCCACCTTCTGAACCATGAAGTACACCGACAGCCACAGAATGTGGACAGCTTCAAAAGTATTAATTGGGGATTACTTTGGACATGGGGGAAAGTGTTTTATTGGAAAATCACTGAACTTCTCCAGAGAAAAAAAATTCACATTAATATGGCATATTCAAACTGTTCTAGGGATAACCCAGATTTCAAAGCCTAGACTCTTATGTGTCGTAGAATTGCAGGAACTACTTTGAACTTAAATTGTCCACTCCATGATCTGCAGAAATAATCTTAGCAAATAATTACACAGTGTGTACTCTGTATCACACAGGACACTTTACATATGTTAACTCATTTAATCCTCACAGCTACCCTATGTGGTAGGTACAGTTATTATCCCCATTTTACAGATGAAGAAACTGAAGCACAGAAAGACTGAGTCAATTAAGCAAGGTAGCACAGCTAGTGTGTGATAGAGTGGGAATCAGTTCTAGATCTTTTGGCTCCAGAGGCTGTGCTCTTAATCACTGTTCTAAATGCTACTGCAGTAACAGAACTGATGATAAACAATAACAATCTTCAGAAGTAGAACTCAGTAAATTTCACAGGTTGAAGTTGTGGTAAATTTTGAACTGTATATTCAATTCATTCAGCTTTGAACTGTGAGTGAACTTCCTCCTGAGCACAGATAACTCCAAGATATAACTACATTTTTAGCAGGTTAAAGTCAGTGGTTATGGAATTATGAGTGCATATTACTTTTCAGTTGCTATAACAAGCACCTTTTCATCTGAACCACTGCAAAACATTACCAAATGTTAGCCACTGTGAAGATATGCAATTTTCCTGCTAATTTAACACCTTATTTTTAAACTGAAATCATTATTATTTCAAGTGAGAAGTCTAAAACTATTTTTTCTCCAGAACAGCAGCCATAAAGAATATCCTCACTTTAGTCTTAACATCTGTTTCTTATTTTAAAAGTGGCTTTATTTGGGGCCGGTCCGGTGGCGCACTGGATAGTGCGCCACTTGGGAAGCGCGGTGGCGCTCCCGCCCGAGGGTTCGGATCCCACATACAGACCGGTTCCCGCTCACTGGCTGAGCGAGGCGCGGGAGCAACCCCGAGGGTTGCAATCCCGTTGCCGGTCCCTGGTCCGGTACGGGGGCAACACTGAGGGTTGCGATCCGTTGCCGGACACGGAAAAAGACAAAAGACAAAAAAAAAAAAAAAAAAGGGGCTTTATTTAACTTCACATATCTACAGTATTAATTGAATAGAAATAAAAAGTGGCCCTATTTGCCCATTCCTGAAATAGTATAAAGGGTATTGTTAATTTTTCCCCTTTTCTACATAATATGCACTTTGTAGTTAAAACAAAGGGTGTTCTAGATACCTCTTGCAGTTAGTGTTGGTTTTAAGTATTATAGACCAAAAGCAGAATTCAAAAGTTAATTCATGCTCATTTTACCCTTTTGCTAAAATTTAATACTTTTTAGCATTATAGTCTGTAAAGTTACATTTTTAGATATATATTTACCAACCTTTCAAGGCAGCTGAAAGGAATCTGCTGCCTCTTTAAATATTATGTCTCTTTAAAATCTATTATAACTAGATCCCTCTCCCTTTGAAACACAGCAGGAAAGCTCAAAGTTACTTAGAATAAAAATATGATACCTTATATTTTAGTTATTTATTGATTACTGAGGGTGTATCTTCTTTCAGGTTAGCAGGAAGCATAGTCTCAGCCCAGAAAACTATTTTTTTTTTAAAAAGTAAAAAATTAATACATAGAACTGCAGTAGCAAAAAACTATTAAGTTCTATGAGGCTGTTTACCCAAGGTGGAAATATCTCTCCTCCTCCACCTTCTCAGTATATGCTCAACTTCAGGATGGAAAGGAGTTATTCAAAAGCTTCCATGATGCCACTCTGGGGCTTTTATTTTTTAAAAGGAGCCTCATTTTTTATCCCATTATTTTCTGGGATATTTTCTTTTAAGGACAAGAAAAACTAGCACAAAATGGACACACTCAAAAAATAATACATGTCATATTCTTCTCCCATTTAGAATCCCTGTGATGACAAACGCCACAGAGACATTTGGTCTAAAGAAAAAACTTGTGATCGCTTACCAAAATTTTTGGTAATAGGACCCCAGAAAACTGGTGAGAATTTTTTATGTTATGATTAACCAAATAGTGTAAAAATCCTGATGACTAGACAATGAGTTCTTGTCAGACAATGAGTCCTTAAACTTCGTATGAATGCTGATGAATAACAATGTTATTCTCTGACATAATCTTAGTTTAGCTCAGTAATGTACTTAAATGCTTGTCAAAGTGTTTTTTAAAGTGATAAAGATGAAATAGATGTCACACTGTTTGAATATCCAGCAGTTAATTTGGTGGCACATATTTATTTTCCCCAAAGATCTTACTGAAAAGTGTTGTTAACATTTCTAAAATCAAAACTAATCAAGTATTTAGAACGTAACTGACAGGACTTTGTGAAAAGTCAAAGAGGGACACATGTAAGTACCTATAGCTCTTTATAATAATTCCCTGCCAGAAGAATAGTCTCTAAGGCTGCCAACTTCCTGATATAAACTATTTCTTGCAGAGATGACTATTTTTTTAAAGTCCAAAAGATGTTTGACAAGGGCCGGCCCGATGGCGCACTGCTATAGTGCGCCGCTTGGGAGTGTGGTGGCGCTCCTGCCGAGGGTTCAGATCCCACATACAGACCGGTTCCCGCTCACTGGCTGAGCGAGGCGCAACACCGAGGGTTGCGATCCCGTTGCCGGTCCCGGTCCGGTACGGGGGCAACACTGAGGGTTGCGATCCGTTGCCGGACACGGAAAAAGACAAAAAGGAACAAAAAAAAAAAGATGTTTGACAAGCAGAATTCCTAGACATAAACAAAACTTTGTGCTAAGGACGGTATTTATTCATACCCAGGAGAAATCATTTGCACCTTTTCTTAAATCGGTGTGCAATTTTTTCATTTGCACCTTTTCTTAAATCGGTGTGCAATTTTTTCCCATAAACTTCTTATTCCTATAAGAAGCAATATTAAGATGAAGCCCAGTGAAAGCTTTAAAATGTCTGACATTCATGCTGTATCCTGCATGATAAATTTTGGGGGGCCTGGGGATTCTGGTTTTATAGTAAACAGCCATTTCAACCACATAGCTTGCTAAGGGTAATACATTCCCTCTCCTCATCTCTCTAGAAATAACTGAGAATTCAATACAATGTACAGAGAGAGTTTAGCCTACTCTTTTTTTCTTAGTCCCATTTGCAGATATCTGAAAACAATAAATATGACAAATACTTTTCTTGTCCGTATATATTTCACTTGTCCTTATCTATCTAAAGTCAAAAGGCTGCTAGAAAACATTTAAACTAAGGTCTCTTCAGTGACCCCCTACTGTCATCACATAACCTGGTCATTTCTGATCACATCTCTCTGAAGCTTGGCATATCAAGTTTGCTTCAGAAAGCCCTGCAGGATGTGCTTCCTCTTGTGCTGGATATACAGACATTTTAATATCATGGTTAGATAGCAGAATTATTACTTATATTAAATTCAGCTGGGCTAAATGTTTATATTACAGTTTGGATATAACATTTACCTTTGGAAAATAATTTTTATAGAAATTAATTCCCCTTTATAGAGATTGATTTTTCCCAGTTTGATTGAGGTATAATTTAAATGCAATAAAATTCACTATTTTAAATGTACCATTTGAAGAATTTTGCAAATTGTACACAGTCATGTAACCATCACCACATTCAAGACACAGAAGTTACGGCACCCTAAAAATATTTCTCACATCTTTGCAGTCATTCCCCACGAGCCTGCCCCATCCCCAGCCATAGGCAACCACTTTCTGCCACTGTAATTTTGTCTTTTCTAAAATCTCATGAAAAAGAAAGCATACGGTATGTAGCGTTTTGCATTTTGCTTCTTTCAATTACTATAATACTTTTTAGAGTCATCCATGTTTATCAATATATCATGAAACTGATTTTAATTAGACAAAAATATCTTCTCACACCAGTTCCATGAGAATTAAATAGCTTCACTTTAATTGTAGTTTTGTCAAAAGTATTTTTCTGGAATATTATGCATAGATTTCTAGTTATCTGGTTATTCAAATACTTTTCACTGTCAAAACTGACAAAAATATAAAAACGGAAATTTTGTGGATGGTTATTTAAATGTGTCTGTGATTATGAGCTGAGTTCTCACTGACAATATATACACAGAATAGTTTATTCAGATTGAAGAATATGTATAGGTAAAGATACAATTCAGAAACCAAAACTAAACAATTTTTTGACTGCTAATAAATTACATCATGCCGTTTACTGACTAAACAGAGTAATTAGATTATATCTATCTTTTCTGTTTGTCTAATTAATGCTGATCATGAAAAAGCTATCAAAAGCAAACTTCATGATTTAATACAATTCTTAAAATAAAATTCAGAAAAGAATGTTTTCAGTTGATCTAATAAAGGAATTCATCTGTTTTCTTTTCTCACGTTATAATAGCCTTACTTCTTTTTCCCCAAAGATTTATTCTTTTCAGTTTAAAAATATGCCATGTGCTTTTCTGAATTATATCTCAAAGTTATTTTTTAAAATACCTTACAAATATTTAGATATGGCATTATTTAGGTACTTTCACAGAGTTTATCTCACTTGACCCTCATAAACCCTGAGAGCTAAGTGTAAAGTAAGGCAAGTCATAACTAAATCCAAAATGTTTCATTATTTTAGTTATTTTAGTTATACTAAGTTTCCATTTACATTGTCAGAGCTAGGGCTCAGACCCTCCAAACCCACTGTACAGACTGGATCACCAGACCCCTCACACACAGGTCCATGCTAGGTAACTGGGAAAGATTCCAGGAGCTGCTGGCAAATGACATGAGCTCAGTCCTCAGCTTCCTCAGTGGCAGTGGCCTTGCAGAGGATCCCAGGGGCATTACCACCAGCAGCCTCCAGCACCAGGAGGGGCCTCCCCATTCCCCTTCCAACGGGGGGGGGGGACGGGACATCCCAGGGATGGGAGGCACGGTGGATCAGAGCCACACATCCTTAACCCAGGACACCTGGGTGCACATGCGCAATTACACTAGACGATAACCAAGGAACACCTGAGCGCCAATGCCTATTTACTTCAAATGCTCAGCAAGATTCTGAACATCTGAGGGGCCCTGACAATTTTTCCTATATTTTCCAACAGCTAAGTAAGTATTTTCTTCCTCACTACACAGATGAGAAAACTAAGACTCAGAGAGGTTAATATTTTTTGTTCTATTTCACACAGCTGGTAAGTACTAGAAAATAAACTTTTGATTCTAGAATTTACCTGACTCCAAACAACACGCTCTTTCTACTTTACTGTGGATTTCAAGTAATGGGGAATTTTTTCCCCCAATAAGTATTGCTTCACTTTTCTTCTAAGTCAGTGATTCTTGAAGGATAGTCATTAGACCAGCAGCAAAAGCATCATCAGAGAACTTATTAGAACTTCTTGGGCCACACCATAGACCAGCTGATTCAGAAACTCTGTGATTGGACCCAGCTATCTGTGTTTTAACAAGCCCTCCAGGTGAACCTGGTGCATGCTAAAGTTTGAGGACCACTGTTTCAAGTCAAGCTTGTGAAGAACATTTTTACTTTGTACAAGTGTATCATAGATTACTATATTTCATTCTCTATCTGTGATTGTAGATAAAGTGTTCATTGTTTGCTCAGATATAATCTAGGAACACTGCCTTTTTCAATTAACTTTTTTAAAACAATATTGTTGTTGACATAGTTATTTTAACAATTTTTTACTGCATAGATATGATAGATTTAAGTACAATACTAATGAAAGCCTCTCAGAGAAATAAGAAATTCAAAATTTTGTACAAATGGCAACATGACAGTCTATCACTAAGCAAAATTTCTCCAAGTGAGAGAAATATTAAAAGGCCATGTCTAATTACTATTGCTAGCTATTGAACTGGAATACAATTAACAGGCCCTGATCCATCAGAATGTATAATAATGTAAATCACATTAGAATAGAGAAGAAACTAGAGGGTATATTTCTCTCTTAGGAGAACTGAACACATAGACCAGAAATATTTTTGTATTATGATCATAAAAACACAGTCACAGTTGCAAATACAAGGTTAAATCTTTGACAAACTGAACCCAAACTACCTTACTTTCCTTGTAAAAGTCTGACTAAGCTGCACACTTTACCTCCTAATTTAGGCTTGCAAAATACTGATTTTACAGTTTGAGAGTGCCCACTTTTTAAAAACCACACACTTGCTCCCCAGTAATCACAACTATATGGGTACCTGTGATATGACATTTTCTTTCCAATAAAATGCAAATTTTGTAACTTAACGTCACTAAGAAGTAACACCACATTTTTCCAAATTTAGCAATCTAATCAATTTTTGGCACTACTTTTTCTAAGTATGTAAGTACATTCACGCTTAAGCAAACTTGAAAGATTAAATTCTTTCTTGAGTTTAATTAGCTTTCATAGGCCTCAGGAAGAACTTCATAGGAGAACCCAAGTATCAATTTTGGTAATGCAACATTAAATAATGATATATCCCTTTTTCATGGTGCTTTTTTTACTATCAAAATATCTTCAGGTACATATGTCTTTTTATCCTCAGAAAATCTATGAAATAAGCAAGATACATGATTTTCATTTAAGAAAGCTGAGATAAAAGGAAGCTAAAAGCCAAAGTCACAGACAAAATCAGTAATTAAGCAGAGATCAAAAGCCAGTTCTCCCAATCCCTGCAACAGTTCTCTTCCCTTCATACCACACTATCTCCACTTTTTAGAATCTGCTTCTTTTAAAATTCTGGTTATCCATTCAGTCTAAGTCAAGGAATACTTATAATAAATCTGTTTGGATCATTGTAATATTAAATTTATTAATGACATTGAAATGCTAATTAATACTAGGAAACTGTGTTTTCATTTAATTAATTTCTAAACTTCTGTTGTCTTTTCAGGCACCACTGCTTTGTACTTGTTCCTGGTTATGCATCCTTCCATCATTAGTAACTCCCCCAGCCCAAAAACCTTTGAGGAGGTACAGTTCTTTAATAGAAATAACTACCACAGGGGGATTGATTGGTAAGATGGGTTATTAGTATAAATCTAAAAGTATATGTACTGTGCACAGTATAAACTTAGTGCTAATATTTCGAAACAGAAGTTTGTAGCTAAAAATAAAAGTTACCCTCTGTGCCTTGGAAATTGATTCAATAACATGAAGGAGCACGGAAATTATTCATAACAAACACTTCTCAGTTTATGAAGAGAATTTTTGCCACAAGAGGCCCACATGTAATTTCAATTGGCATTAATTACTTTTGATAGTAATTACAGATAGGAAGTCAGAGAAATAGCATAATACCCAGGAATTTCATTCTTCTCTACTCATAAGAAAACAGTTTCATATCTTTCTCTTCTTGTGCACCTTTTCATTATATAATGCTATAACCCACATATATAATTTTCTATTTTGCCTTGGTATAAGAGGTTAAAAAGTAAATAGAACCAGAAATCTGTGTATATTTTATGAGTAATGAAAGCTATAAAAAAACTATCAACAATATACAAAACTAAATTCTTTGCCTTTGAATTGAAATTAGAAATATATCAGCCATGTGAAGAAAATAGTTAAGATCAAATAAAAAATAAAAATGTAAGATATACATGAAATATAGTAATGTAGTAGAAATAGATGGTACAAGCTAACATGTTAATTATAAAACGTATCTAGAGGTCATTCTATTGATCTATAATACTGGACAGAGAGTGGCATAAGAATGGAATTCTTATAATAATTCTAGAGCATAAACATTTTGCATATATTTTAGCATAAAGAGTCATATATATTAACCTCTGTTGTCAAGTTGCATGATCTCAACTTCATAAGAACCCCCTCAAGAGTTGCTTGTGGGTAGTCCAAATGGAAAGATAAAGGAATGCACTCAGTATAATTTGAACATATACTATGATTTACATATATTCTAATTGTTATATATTTTACTGCCATTTCTTCAGTACAGTGCTTGATATTGTGTGGTGTTAAATAACAACAGGGAGTATCAAGAAACTATCAACTACTTCAGCTGCTTAACATATACACGGGGTCTTCAAAATTTTCATGGAAAGATTCATGTTATTTTTTATTTATTTATTTATTTTTGTGACTGGTAAGGGGATCATAACCCTTGGCTTGGTGTCACCTGCACCGCGCTCAGCCAGTAAGCACACCGGCCATCCCTATATAGGATCCGAACCCGCGGCCTCGGCGCTCCCAGCGCTGCACTCTCCCGAGTGAGCCACGGGGCCGGCCCAAGATTCATGTTATCTTTTAATTTTATTTTCCATGAACTTTTTGAAGGAGCCTTATATATGCCAGTATATAGTAGGAAAAAATTATGTTAACATCAGGACTAAAAGGAATGATTAAAAATTGCTTCGGAAGTAGAAGGGAACACAATACCTGAATTCCCTGGGACAAAAGAATATATGATTAAAAATTGCTTCGGAAGTGGAAGGGAACACAATACCTGAATTCCCTGGGACAAAAGAATATCCGGGAATAATCAATTTTTATCATAAATTTTATCAAAAACAAATTTTGATCATAAGCCAGTAATGTGTATAGGCTCTGTAATAGGAACAAAAAGCCCCTTAAGGAGTTTACAAGGAGATGATGACATCAATAAGTAGAAAGCTAAAGAAAAATGAAAGATTTTAAATATAACTCACTAAAAACACCCCAAATACACTTTTGATTGACAAATTATATGTGTATAAAAGGCAATTAATAGAAATAACAATAGTAACTGCAAATGTCAATCTACGGGAATAACCATAGCTTTGTTCTCAACAACATCGGATGTTTCCAAGTCCTCTCACTGGCATTTTCTCTCTATGAAGCATGAGCACCTCAGTCATCCCTCTGGAACCATGGTGCCACAAGGCTGAAGAGTATATGTCTCAGAGTTCCAGAATCACTTAAAGAATTGACCCAGGCACAGTTAGTTAATCTGGATGCGTGGATCTGCTTTTTTTGGAGAACTGGATAAAACCAGGCTTGCCTTAACTAAGAAGCAGCCTAAGCACAGGCTTAGGGCACAAGCAAAGTAGAGCAAATGAAAATTAGAAAACATCATTTTTGACAAAATGGCCAAAATTTGCAATTGAAAGATCTAATAAAAATGTTTGATTTATGCATACATGTAAGTTTTATCTTTTGCGGTCTGGTATTATTATTTTTAATTACATGAGGATGTAGTGGAGGGTCAGAGTGGTGAATGGAAAGCCACAAAATTCTGTTAGTATTTAGAATACCTAAATGTCTTAATTTGACTTTGAGTAAAATCAATTAGAAATACTCAAGGTCAAACCAAATAACAAATGTGGAGTATTACAAACATTACATCTTTTAGGAAAAAATAAAATTGCTGAGGTGTTATGCTTTGTGGAAGGAGCAAAGCTTAAGAGAGGCAGGCATTCACTTTAACCCCAAAATTGTTAAACCACTCTAGTCTGCTGGCTAATTCTTTGGATACCTGTATTCATATTCTCCTAATGTGAGCCTATCTGGGGAGCTTCCGAGTCCCACCCTGGAATTTTGAACCTGAATTCCTTTTATTTACTCGTTTATTCATCAAACATTTTTCAAGTGGCTACAAGTGCCAGCCAATGTACTAGAAAAATGTGAATATACTGGCAAACAAGAACTGGACCCTGCCTTCTCCTTAAGCCTCTGAGGCCAGGCCAAACCAACACATTATAAGAGGTCCAAGATCTAGAACTGTTTGAGAATTTCTTCAAAGCCTAAACTGTTCCAGGTATAAAAGACTGCTGGGAAGGTGGGGCAGTTTTTAAAAGCTAAAAGTTATCTAATTTCAGCACCTCTGTCCATTTTTTGTGATTTTTGTTCTCAGAAGGAGCAAGCTTGAGACAAGCTTTGTCCAAATAGGATACCATCAGACACCTGGGATAACTTAAGCACCTTGAGAATCAGTGTGAGCTTCTAAATAAGCAGTATCCTGAAATTTGGCACTTTCTGTAAATAGAATGCACACAACAGAAAGCAGATCAAACTTTCCAGAAATTTTTATATATCTCTTTCCCCCTAAAAGATTCCCAGAATGACATATCACCAACAAGACAATTCCCAGAAAATATAAAAGGATTTCTTTATTGCTCTTAATCTCAAGATATCACTGTTGCATCAGCTAAGCTTTGCAATTATTAACAACTGGAATCTTACCAGTTTTAACATGTAAGATGACATGATCTCACAGTCAAAAATCTGTCTCACATTTTCATAGTCTCTCTCTAAAGAAGCCCTTTTCCTCTAAAAGGTGTCCCTTAGTGCTTCAGAAATATTTATTGTCATATGTTGAGTTCTATTTGACAATTTTTACATGAGTGGAACATTAAACAAAATCCTTTATTACAGTTCTTGAACCTACAGGTATCCCTGTGTTTACTCTGCTGGAGATTTGCATTCTTACTACACTTAAGGATACAGGACCTGAACTTGGGAAAATTTGTAGGATTTTTTATTTGGAAATATATACATATTGTTAAGATGTTTTTATAATTATTCTAAAAGAGGAATATAAATGGCTTTATAGGAAAAAAATTAAGCAAATAGTTAATATTTACACCAGATATGTTCTGCATTTTGACACTTAAATGGTTAAATATAACATTGGCAGAACATATTAGTGAGAATGAAATTATTCTACTTGTAATAAAGTAAGAAATATATTGTCTAAATCCTTTTAAAATGTTTTCAAACTGAACATATTATCTGTCTTGACAAAGTTTTCTTTTTGTTTGAGTACTTACATTTTTCTCTGTACAGTATTTCTGTATTTATATACCTTTTATATAGTTAGGTGATTATTATTTTAGTTTGATCACTCTGTGTCTTCATTTTTATTATATTCTGTACCTTTTTTTCTGCTATTAAGCAAAACAAAAGGAAATTCTATTTAGAAAAACATTTTCAAAATATATTATTAGTGTTCTGGGTAGTTTTTCCTTGGTAACTATAGTAAGATAAATGCCTCAAAGAAGTCATCTTTTGTTTAGGAAACAAATGAATTTGTGGGACAAATTAATGTCTTCAATCACAGAATTTGAATATAAAAAGTCTTATTTTGAGAAAAATATCCTTTCCTAGGTATATGGACTTCTTCCCAGTCCCATCGAATGTCACCACTGACTTTCTGTTTGAGAAGAGTGCCAATTACTTCCACTCAGAGGAAGCTCCTAAAAGAGCTGCTTCTCTGGTCCCCAAAGCAAAGATCATCACCATTCTCATTGATCCATCAGACCGAGCATACTCCTGGTATCAGGTAAGGAAAATACAGATAGAATCCAACAGGTAAAAGGGGAGAATGAACAATGGAGGATTATTTTTAGAAATAACCACCATCTCAGATTTTTAACAAAAGAAGAGTTGCTAGATATTTGATATTTGCAAAAAACTGGATAAGTTTTTCTTTGTTTCCATGGAAAAGCTAAGTTTCTCCATTAGTTTTTGTTAATTTTTTATCAATTAAGTTTACATAATAAAATTTTTTTAATTTAATAAAAAATTAAAAATTAATTAAATCAATTTAATGAAAATTAATGCAATGAAGAAATTAAAATATAACAAAATATTATGTTCTTGTGTATATATCTGTATGTCTGCATTTTAAAGGTAAACATTATAATAATTTAAAATAATTATTTTTCATCTTATACATATGTATATTCTATAAAAGGCCAGATAGCAAAAATTTCAGGCTTTGCAGGTTATATGATCTCTGTTGCAACTCTTCCATTGTATTTTGAAAGCAGCCATAGACAGTACATAAATGGATGAGCATAGCAGTGTTCCAGTAAAACTTTATCTGCAAAGCTGTCAGTTAGCTTAGTAGGTAGAGCACGGTTTTGATAACACTAAGGTCAAGGGTTCAGATCCCCATACAGGCCAGCCACCAAAAAAACCAAAAACTTTATGTGCAGAAACAGGCAGTAGGTCATAAATTGCTGACCCCAGATCCTAAAGAGGTTAAATAACTGCTTGTACTGAAGGAGCAACTTAGTGGCAAAGCAAATATAAGAATCCCTGAAAGTCCATCCTAAACAAACTTGTTCTAAGGCTCTTTCTCATATACTCATTGCCATTATGTTTCTGATTGGTTGCAACCTAGCACAGAAACAATCACTGAAATAATTTAACAGACTCTAATGATAATGTTTACATATCAAATACATTTTTACTTTAATAAATTACAAATAATAATTAGGGGGAAAAAACCTGTCCCAGTGATATTTTAATCACCAAATGGAAAGTTTCAATAAAAAGCAGCCAAAATTAAACATAAGAACATAATAAAATTAATAGAGTCAGTGTCTTTAGTCTTTCTCTAGGATCTTTAGTTATCATTTCTCAGTTTTGTAATTTTAAAAATGCTTTCCTAATGTTTATGTGTTCATCCATTCATCAAATAATTCTAATGACTACCATGGGCAAAGTATTGTTCTAAGTGTGATCTGAAGATTAATAAATGTGGATGCTACACTTGAGACTGCTTTCAGTCTATTTGGAGAAATATGAGTAAATAAGCATACAAATTAGAAAGTGATAAGTGGTGACGAGACAGGCAGACTCAGAGTGATAAAGCCCATCTGATGAAGACCACTTGGGACAAGTTAGATTTATTCACCGACTAGAGCAGAGGAGCCTGAACACCAGAAGAGCCACTGGGCATTTTTCTAAAGAAGGGAAGGGAAGGATTTGTAAAGGGAGAAATTTAAGTAAAATTAAAATGAAGTGTTTTGACAGGCACAAAGGGGTTATCAACAGGTCAGGGCTGAAAAGCAGACTAAGGGTCCTATTTCCTTGGAATCTATAAAGTTAAGATAAATGTGAAATGTCGTGTATACAAAAACCCCTTGTCTGAAACTCTGCAAGAGGGCTAGATATAAAGTTACTTCTCTGTTTTAAATTGACCCACATAGCTCAGATCCTCCAGGCAAGAGTGCGATGTTCCATTCTTACTGATGATGATTTCAAACAGCTAAGTTCTCAACAATTATGATATTAAAGAATAAAGTTCCTCAGCACTAAATCTTTTTGTTATTTAACAAAAGTAGTTTTTCCAGGTTCACAAGAGGAAGAATAGATTGTCAGGAAAAGTTTTGTGGTAGGGATAGAGTAGGAAAAGTTCATACAAAGCAGATGCAATCTTAGTTAAGCATATTGAAAATCTGCACACATCCTGAAAAGCTAAGATCCATAGAAATCCACAATTCCACACTAATCATTCATGTCAAACCTAGAGCCATCTTGTAAATAAAAATATACAGCAAATTGCCGCACACTGATTTTATTTTGCACCTTTTACCTTTTCTACCAGGTGTCTGGAGAAAAGAGAAATAAGCCTTAATTGACTCAAAGAGAAGGAAGAAAATTGGAGCTTAGCAACCACTTAGCCCCTGAAAAATTGAGAATTTGCAGAAAAAGGAGGTTTCAAGGCTGCGAGCTAACAAAACGTCCTAAATATTACAAATAAATCACTCCACAGTGGCAAATTGAGGGCCTTAACAAAGTCTAGTAAAGTTTGTAGTACAGTAATTTGAATCTCAATTGCAGCAAATTTGCTATTCTACTAAATGAGGTAAACATCTGCAGACTCACCACTAAGCCTGAGTATTTATTGGTCAATTTAAGGAAAAGGTGATTTCCTCAAACCCATGGGCCTGAGCCTGAGCCATTATGAAACACTTTCCTATTTGGATTGTGGCTTTCTAAATTTTCTGCACAATAAATGGTTCTGATTCACTGCAAAGGTTACCATTAGATAAAATAATCGTGGCTTTTAGATGCTAGGTAATATATGATAAAAGCTGTGGATTTCGGGTAATGTACATGTCAGAGTTTTCAGTAGTTTCTCCATTTAAAATAGCCAGTAGGGCTTTTCTAATCTAAAACTGCATTACTAGATGAAGCAGAACTATTTGGCAGAACGAGTAGAGTGCTTGTGTATTATGGATATACACAAGACATGATAAATGGTCTGCTTATGGGCTGAAAAAGGGTCATTTAAAGCTGCTTTCAAAAGTTTACTTTCAGAGTAAAATCTATACACTAAGGAAACAAAACTCGGTAAGGTTGATTAAGGAATCTTATCAATAAAAATTCAGCATCTACCAAATATGTTCTCAAAAATATTCTTTCATCAGGGTCATAACTTTAAATCCTGATGCTCCAAGCAAACATTTTCATCCTTTATTAATTTCAAAACAACTCTCCAGCTGTGAGGCACTACTTCCTTTAGCTTTGAGACTTGTCACAAAGATTGGTTTTTAATTATTTATGCCTATGGTTCAAGTTAGTTTAATTATCCACCTTTTCATCACAGCATCAGCGATCGCATGAAGACCCTGCAGCTCTGAAGTTTAGCTTCTACGAAGTGATATCAGCTGGGCCCCGTGCACCATCCGAGCTTAGAGCTTTGCAGAAGAGATGTTTGGTTCCCGGGTGGTATGCCAGCCACATTGAGAGATGGCTTGTTTATTTCCCCCCATTTCAGGTATGGAGCAATAAGAATTTGCCTCATGTTATAATCTCATTAAGCTGATGACTTTGCCTCAAGGAGAGAGGAAATTTTTACTCGTTAGACCATTACTGGCTTTTACTCTTTAGCTGTAAATAATGAGACTGTGGCAAAGAAAAATAGGCAGAGGTAGAAAAATTGTTTAATATTCTTTTCTAAGAGTATTTCAGGATAATTCTCACTGCTGTATTTTCTAATGCATACCTTTCCTGATTGTAAAGAGCTTCAAAAGCTGCAGATCCCTGATGCTTATTCTGAAAATAAAGCTTGAGAGAGAACCTCTTAACCAAACAAGACAAATATTGTTTTGCATAAGTGCCATTATTTCCATTTTGAACCACCTTGCTGAATTTTTCATAAGCCCTTCATTTTCTTGGCTTCATTACTTCTCTTTCTTGCATCAACCTAGACTATGAAATCAACCCCTACATTGGATTGCATAAGCAACCCAGTGACAGACATGGTGTGCACCTAGGTGTCTAGAACTATGCTGTCCAATATGATAGCTGCTACCACATATGGCTTTTAAAATTTATATTAAAGTTAAAAATTCAGTTCCTCATTTGCATTAGCCACATTTCAAATTCCCAATAGCTACATGTTAGACACAGCAGCTGTAGCACATATCCATCATCACAGAAAGTTCTATTGAACAATGCTGGTCTAGAGTAAACAAATATTGGAGAAGAGGTATAGGGAAGAGCTGCGTTGTGGTCTTCCTTCATGGTCTCCTGTAGTTTTATCTTGCTGAGTTCACCCTCACCAGAGTAACAAGCAAATTCTTCCCCTTAGTTTCTTGAGGAACTTCTGTCCGTGTTCAGGTTCTCTGGGAGTCTTACCTTCTCCTCCATATGGACTACCAAAGTATTTCTTCAAACATTACAGTAGTACTCCTGAATGGAATTGTGAATAGTGACATTTCCTCTATCTCACTACACTTGGGCTTATTATAACCTCTCCTTTTTCTACAGTGCTTCTTCCAGCTTCAAAGATGGAATCCTTGCTTTGTTTTTAAACATGGTTTCCATTTGTGATTTCATAGTCACATTTCTAAGCTCTCTTGGTCCCCTCAAATAGCTTTTTTGTTTTTGTAGTGTTTGCAGGACTTCTCAGATTAAAAGACATGAATATACTTAATTAGCATGATTTATTTCTTGTTCCAAGTCATTAATGAGGAAGACCTGCTTACATCTAACAACAATGCATGCAAATCCCTCAGGACAGTGTCTTTCATTGAATAAGTTCAGAGTGCAGAATTTTTCATTATACAGTTAATATTTCTTTTTTTCAATGTGCAATGTGTTTTTTATTTCTTTGGTGATTTAGATGCTAATTATCGATGGGCAACAGCTAAAAACTGATCCTGCTACAGTGATGGATGATGTACAGAAATTTCTAGGAGTCTCTCCTCATTATAATTACTCGGAAGCTTTAACGTAAGTTTATACTCTAAATAGTTTATTGACGTTTCAACAGAGAAACAATTTTAAAGAAATTGTAGTTTAGTGATGCAATTGTCAGGTTAACTTATACACTTTTTTCCAGTTTGACATTAACCACTTGGGAAAGAACATTTCAACAGTGTGAAAAAGAAATGTCCTAATTCCTCTGTTGATTCCTAACTATGCAAAGATTTCCCCTGGAAGGAAAGTAGAGAAACAGAACAGTTGTAAATCTTAAAACCAATAACTAACTTTAAAGAGGCTACTTTAAATAGTTGGTAAGGGCTGAGCCTATTTAACAGACAATATTGGGACCTCTTGGAAGTATTCATGAAGGAATGATTAACTAGGTGGTTTAGGAACTAACACTTCTCTCCTTTGTGCAGTTTTCAGAAACAATGTCATATATAGCAGGAAATAGTCTAATAATAGATGACTGAATAGGCAGAGAGACAGGTACAATTGTTGCATTTAAACATACTTCCGTTTTTTGCTTGTTTTTACCTACTATAAGCCTGAACCTGTCACCTCTCCTTTAAAGACCTCAGCATTTATACTAATTTGTTTTGTTTTGTTGTTTTTTGCTAGTTTCCTCTGGTTTTCTTAGGTGATTGACTTCATCAGGGCTGGAACTAGGAAGAGGCAAGAGAGGCACTAGGATTTGAGGAAGCACTCACTCTCAGGGCTGTGCATATGCTGAGAGTGACTGCCTCTTTAAATTCTGCACCCTAGGTACTACTCTTACCTCACCCTGTTGGAAAAATACAAAATTAATTCTTTCAGTAGCTTGTTTTGCCTTTAGAACAGAACCTGCTTATTGTATCAGCTTTACTGATAATTAAGTGCTCTACTCCCAATTCTGTAAATGTGCTTGCTTATCGCAATGCCTACTGTACTGGCTACATGAATGCTGAGAACAAAACTCAAAAGAACCCAGAAGAGTCCACCTATAAAATCCCTGTAAGACCTAAATTTAAGGCTCAGATTTTGAAGGGCTAGCTCATCTGGGCCCGCTGGTATAATAAAATACCTGACTCTTCAACCCTCTGAGCGCCAACCACTTCTCTGTCGAAGTCCATTCCATAACAACCCTATTCCTGTCTCTGGACTTCACTTACTATTTTTAAATAAGACCTCCATCTTACTCTTTCCATTCATATTGGCTGGAAATCAGAGTGATAAATGTTGTGTTTGTTCCTATCTCACATGCCTAGAACATCTGGAAGATACTGAGTTGGATGGGCCATGAACCTGGCTCTCAACTATTTTTTTTTTTTAATTTTAGGCTCATAGAATGAGCCTTTAAAAAGCTGAAAAAGATTGTATTATGGAATTCTTCCATTATATTTTTCACTCTAAAACTCAGTTCCATAGATCAACTGGTTTTCCCTTTTTATTGTATTCTTTATCCTATATCAATTTAGGAAGTGAGAGGTAGTTTTCCTTTACCTTTCAGCATTTCTTGCAGTAAGAGACTGGCAGAAGAACATCAAATACTGCTTCTATCTTGTGCAAATCATAAGTAGATACATGTAAGAGAGACATTTTGGTTTAGATTACAAAAAAGTAGGTTGAACTCTGGAGTTTTGAGCTTCCTTCCTGAGAGTCATTTACTTTGTTGTTACTTATTAACCTTCTGACCTATGTGTTTTCTATACTAAGAGTACTGTCAGTTTTGTAGAGCTCAGCTCAAGTACTAACACAGACACTAGCCTTAGGTATTTAACATTCAACTTGACCTTAAAGAAAGCTGAGTGATTTTAGTTTGTAGTTAGAAATTCAAGTTCTTTCCGCTTTATATCTTTTTGAGTATCTCTTAGAAAAGAAAGCTTTTATTTTCTAAACAATTTTCAATTTCAAGGTAGCTTATCTTTGGGTCTTTTTTATACTGTATACAGCAAAGCATTGTATTTCAGAAAAAAGAAGTGAAATATTCTGTAAAGACATAATCTCTTTTTCTTATGGAATGGTCCTTGACCTGCATGCTGTGTATTTGTCCCCTCTGCATCCAGCTCGGCAGCAAGCTTTTAATTCATCTCCACTGGTGAGAAAAGGCAGTGTAAACTTGAGAGAATTAATATCAAAAAAATGTACTCTATACAAAGAGCTGTGGGTCACTTTGCACCTAGGATGTATTTGGCTAAAATTACCCATTATATGATTCTCTAACATGGTTGGGGGCTCAGTAGGTGAAGTAGCAAGATAAGATATGTGCAGTCCCTGAAACCATAGTTTCTGGTCCAGCAGCGCTGCCCAAGCTCTCACACTGCTGATAGAGATAATGCACTTCTATTCAGTTTCTTTATACATTTTCTTGTCAGTCATCAGTTGGCCTGACACACCTTATAAAAACCAGCAGTGCACTTGTATAATATTTGGAAGTTCCATGTCATTGTCTTAGGTCTAAATTAATCTTCATGACCACATGCCCTTTGCAGTTGCTTATCTGAATCCTATCCTCACAATTTAGTTACTCGTTAGAATAACTCTGTACTAATAGCTGTTTCTTTGGTACTTTAGAAATATTGGGGATGACTGACTGGGGATACAAAATGTATATTCTCAGAAATGCCATTAATACCGGTTGGCAAGAGATCCTTTGTACACTTTGGTACTGCTTCTTATTTTTCTGCTGGTGATAACGAAGACTATCTCTTTGGTACTTAGAAAAAATTTTTTTCAATTAAAATCCTCTAAGAATGTATTAAACCACAAACCAATATGAATTCACAACTAACTACATAAATGCAGTACTTTGCATACAAGGGTATTACTATAAAGTCTTGGCATGAAAGAATACTACAATTTAAGAGCTCTCCAAACTGATTGCCTTCTATATAGCAAATCCCAGTATCAAAACTATTTTCAAGAATGGCAATAAGGGCCGGCCCGGTGGCGCACTGCTACAGTGCGCCACTTGGGAGCGTGGTGGCACTCCCGCCGAGGGTTTGGATCCCACATACAGACCGGCCGCTCACTGGCTGAGCGAGGTGCGGGTGCGACACCGAGGGTTGTGATCCCGTTGCCAGTCCATGTCCGGTACGGGAGCGACACTGAGGGTTGCGATCCGTTGCCAGTCATGAAAAAAGACAAAAAGGAAAAAAAAAAGAATGGCAATAAGCCTCCATTGCCAAGAGTATTGTTTATTTCTTTCCACAATCACTAAAGAAAGTCTTCAAGACTTCTAAATTTCATAGTTAAGTCACTGGATAGTCCATGATTTCTTAAAATGACTTAGTATTGTCATCATGGGTTTTAAATGAAATACAGTTGGCTCTCATATTCACAGGTTCTGCATGTGCCGATTCAACCAACCTCAGATAAATAATATTCAGAAAAAATGAAATATAACAATACAATAAATAATAAAATTTTAAAATACAGTATAACAAATATTTATATAGCAGTTACACTTTATTAGGTATTATAATCTAAAGATGATTTATAATATATGAATGTGTGTAAATTATATGCAAATACTATGCCATTTTATACTGTATAAGGGACTTGAGCATTCACAGATTTTGGTATCCACAGGGATACCAGTCCCCCACAGATATGAGAGGGAGGACTGAACTGAATATGTTTCAACAATTTGTTTTTCTCAGTGAGCATGGGTGTGATTTCAGATAAGCAGTATAAGCTTAAAACAATATAATTGGGAACTTTCTCATTCAGTTAAGTAAATTAGCATTTTACAACTCATGTTCCTTAAATTGTAAATAGGATTGATATAATGACATTACTTAACTTTTATGTTATGTGTTATATAGTGTTTTGAAATTGATCATTTGAGAGAAAGAGAAAATAATAAAATTATTTTCATGAAATTGTGCTAATTTGTATAAATTAAAATGAAAAATATAACTTTAATTTTGTCATGAATATATCCATTCACAATTATATCTAGCCATCAGTAATCATTAGAGAAGTCTTGACATTTGGAAATATTAGTTAAATACCTGAAATTGGCATCTTTATTTCTCAGTTATTAACCAACTTGTTAAAATGAATGAAACCAGACTGTGTTATATGAATTTTTTTTTTTTTTTTTTTTTTTTTTTTTTTTTTTTTTTTTTTTCCGGTCCCCCCACCG